TGAAAATTTTCCCTTGATTTTTTTTCCTGAGGAAAGTATGGCAGTGAGAGGAAAGGTTACATAGGGTTGTAAAGAGGTTTCCTGAAAACTTGGTGCCTCCTAGTCACCTATCCTACCCTTCTGCTCATCTCTGCATTCCACCTGTAAAGAAAGGAAAGGGCTGAGGGAGAGGTAAGCCATAACTTAAGTGATATGAGAAAAATCCTACCTGTTCGACACCACTGGCGTGAGTATGTAAGAACCTGCAGATTTTGTAAGCTACTTCCGCTACTTACATTTAGGTGGGACGAGCCTATGCAATGCTACAGCCGAAGAGGGCTACACAGACAAATTAGAGCATGTTTGTCTCAATTCACTGTTAACAGATGAATCAAAGTGTTGCTGCCACAGGATATGGGTATTGTAGACCCCAGGTGTTCCCAGTGTTGTAGGACAAAGTTGTGGTTTAAGGCTGGGCGGCAGCTAAGCACCAGCACCACACAGCTGCTCGCTCACACTGCCTACCCCCCTCTTGGTGGGGTGGGGGAGAGAATCAGAAGGGTAAAAGTGGGAAAACACATGGGTTGAGATAAAAATGATTTAATATTTTAAAAAATAAATAATAAAAATTGTAAGGAAAAGGGGGGGGGGAATAAGTAATAAAGAGAAATAAAAATAAAACACAAGAACTACAAGTGATGCAAATGAAAACAGTTGCTCACCACCAATTGACCAATTCCCAGCCAGTCCCTAAACAGTGGTCCCCCCACCAACCTCCCCTGTAGTTTTATTGCTGAACATGATGTCATATGGTATGGCATATCCCTTTGGTCAGTTGGGGTCAGCTGTCCATGCTGTGTCCCCTCCTAACTTCTTGGCACCCCCAGCCTACTTGCTGTGGGGTGGGGTGAGAAACAGAAAAGGCCTTGATGCTGTGTAAACACTGCTCAGCAATAATGAAAACATCTCTATTATCAACGCTGTTCTCAGCACAATTCCAAAATGTGGCCCCATGCTAGCTACTGTGAAGAAAATTAACGCTATCCCAACCAAAACCAGCACAGACAACCAATACAAATGTAAATACATTTCACTTTGTATATAAATTTTTAACAGTCTGAATGAGCCAGCAGTGTGCCCTTGCTTCCAAAAAGGCCAATGGAATCCTGGGCTGCATAGGGAAGAGTGTGTCCAGTAGGTCGAGGGAGGTCATTCTTCCCCTCTACTCGGTGCTGGTGAGGCCACAACTGGAATACTGTGTCCAGTTTTGGGCTCCCCAGTTCAAGAGGGACAGGGAACTGCTGGAGAGAGTCCAGCGAAGGGCAACCAAGATGATTGAGGGATTGGAGCATCTCCCTTATGAGGAAAGGCTGAGAGAGCTGGGACTCTTTAGCCTGGAGAAGAGAAGGCTGAGGGGAGACCTTATTGTTGCTTACAAGTATCTAAAGGGTGGGTTGAAGGAGGATGGAGCCAGACTCTTTTCAGTGGTTCCCAGTGACAGAATGAGGGGCAATGGAACATAGGAAGTTCCGTTCCAACAAATGGAAAAACTTCTTTACGGTGAGGGTGACAGAGCACTGGCACAGGCTGCCCAGGGAGGTTGTGGAGTCCCCTTCTCTGGAGATTTTCAAAACCCGCCTGGATGCAGTCCTGAGTAATGTGCTCTGGGCAATCCTGCTTTAGCAGGGGAGTTGGACTAGATGATCTCTAGAGGTCCCTTCCAACTCTGAAAATTCTGTGATTCTGTAATTTGAGATCCTTACTGAGGTTCCTATACCTGAAGGTTCTGGCATCAGCTGATGTAGTTTATACCACTCATCTGTTTCTGAACCCGCTGTGAATCAGAAGTGTTGGGACTATAGTTGTTTGTATAGTTCATGTTTTAATGAAGGCAGAATGCAGAAATTATCTTTTAGGCAGTCTCATTATTGCTGAATTTTCTTAATTCCTGGTTTTGCGTGGAACATATGGGAAAGATTCAGTATGAGGTTCCATCTATACAATGGTTTACTAATTAGACATGAGTAAAATGTTGCTGCTGCCGCTTTTTGCAGACCTCCTATCCCATACTGAGAGGTAAAATTGGGTTATATTAGCTGTTGTAAAAAGTTGGTGGTCACTTTGCTTGTTTATAACAACAGAGATTTTCAAAATGTCAGTTTAGTTTCTTACAGGTACATTAGCTGACTTGACATAGCAGTTCTTGGGATGTGGCTTTCTCTAGTCCAGCTTCCAACTCCAAGTGACAGTGTTTCTGTGTGATGCGTTCAGCCTGAACTTCTATAGAAATCTGTGTTATTTTCAAGTCTTCTGAATTAATGCTGTGTGTGTCAATATAGATAGACAAGATAGTTCTCAAGTAAAATGTGAACACACATGCAGACCAACACCTGGGCTGGCAGGTCCTTGAAATGTTCCATAAGCTGGAGACTTGCAGAGGCTCCGATGCTGTGTTCAGGCGCAAGCAACTAGTGGGCAGAAATTAATTGTCTCAAAGCTGACAACAACGACAAGTAACAGAGGCATCCTGTCGCTGACATCCAGACTTTTTTGTTGTTCGTTGGTTTTGCTTAAGCTGTGTGGATGGTGGAACTTTTACCTTGGTAGAGCTGTGTGGATGGTGGAACTTTTACCTTGGTTTACTTCTAATGCATTGCATTCTTGAAGATGAAACCGGGGTGAATAACATCTGTTAGTGATGGGTCAAAGTTACAGCCTCATTCAGGGGAAGGGGGGAGAAATAAGACTAGTAGTAGCTGGTGTTGCATCATTTTAGACAACTCCTTGTTAAACCTGGATAACTGCTAATGCAACTTTGGACCCTCAGGAGGCACAGCAGTTCTTAGTACAGAGTAATCACACAGCTTTAACAACCAAGTATTAAGCAATTAGCTGTCTCAATCTTAATTATAAAAGTGCTGCTGCAGCATATCACTCAAGGGCATGCACATGATTCTTCTTGAATTGTTTGCCCCTGTTCTGTGTACGTTCAGGAAGAGTCTTTTTTTATACTTACCACTTTTCTGCCACAAAACTTGGAGTTAAAGGATTTATTGTGGGGGCTGGGAGGGGAATAAACAAAAGTAGTCATTTGGACAAGTGACTGTGTGTGAATGGGATAAAATGATTGGAAAAATCTTGTTTTCAAAAATTATTTACTAATACTAAAAAAGTTTTTCCTGTTCCAGTATGTTAGCTGCCAAAAAAAAAAAAACCCAACCCCAAAAACCCAACCCAAAAATCAGCACCCTTACAGTTGTGTTCTAAATTGATATTCTTGGCAGGAATTTGTAATTTTTTAGAGAAAAATAATCTAATTGTTGTTTATTGAAGTCTCATTTTGGTTAACAATTTAGTGGTAAAATTGCATTTTATGTATATGGAACCATAATATTAAAGTTTATATCTAATGGGGTGAATCTTCCACATGGCAAATGGTCAGCCTGCCTAAAGGCTGAAGCAAGAGAGAGTAACTTCCCCATTTTTATTTTATGAGCCTTTTGGGAAATAAATGGAAATGACTGTGGTTGTTCCAAACTGGTCTGGCTTGAAGTTGCCAATTAGGAAACATAATGCTGATATGAATAGCTGGATTTTTTTTGCAAGAGTGACTATCGGGGCACAAAGTTGACAAGCCTCTTGAAATACTGATAATAGTTTTGGAGAATGTATTGAAAGGTTTTAATGACATAAAAAATGTAGCTAAATTCAAAATCTTGGAGTTTTGGGTTGATTTTTTTTTTTTTTTTTAGTTTTTGTTAATTGGGCTTATAAAAATATTTGTAAAGCTTTCAGCATTCAGCAACTGTTATATGCCTCGTTCATTCAAATATTAACTTTGAAATGTGAAAATTGAACTTTGAAGAAAACTTTGTAGCTCTGTGTTTACCACTTTTGAAAGTGCTTGGTGGAAAAAAATAAAGACTTGATTAGATACTCACATTTCTTCTGTCTACCATTATCGACTTGACGGTTAGAGCTGACACTGTAGAGGAGTTTCGTTATTTAGGGGATTGCTCTCCAGTGGACAGAAGATGATCAACCTGTGCAATACTCTTTTCTGCTTGGATTTGTTACTCCCTTATCTTCTCCCCCCCTGGGTGGAGGGGGAGAAATTCATGCAAAGCAGCTTGCAGTGGGCAAAGGTGCTGAGGATAAGTGCAGAAGATGTAGTGGTATCTTGAGGAATGGCTTAGAAAGGGGGATGGAGATGAGGAAGATGAGAAGAGGGCTGTGGGCAGCCTGGGGAGATCTGTGAACCCCTGGTGGTGTGGGAAGAGCAGTCGGGGGAAACTTCAAAGGGGGATGTATGTTGGAAGAGGAAGAAATGTAGAGCAAAAATTTTTGGTGGGTCTTTGTGGAAATGGAGATTCATCGTGAGGGTGATGAGGGGTGATCAGATGCTCAAAGGCAGAAGGGTGGGGCTGGAGAGTAGGACCAGGCGTGGTAAGCAATAAGAGGGCCGCAGTCAAGCCCTACTGAAGCTAAGGTTCTTCCTACAGACAAGTTTCAGGACCAAGCAAAAGAAGTGTTGGCCTGTAACTGTTGTCTCGTATGGGATTTTGAAGACTTGAGTTTTATCTCTAACTTCTGCTGATTTTAGAAAGCTATCTTTTTAAAAAAATTAAATTTGCATCCCTCTCAAGACCTATTCATTTCAGTTTCTTTTCTCTAGTCTTTGGGTTTGTTACCCTACATTTTTTTTCTTTTCCCAATATTTGCTTCAGTCTCTTCAGTACTCAGTGTTCACATTGCAGTAGTACCAAAAATGCCTTCTTTGAAAAATAAGATATCTCTTCTCGGGAAAGTTTCTTATACTGATTCAAGTCATTACCCTCAACATTTTAATTACTTTTGAAAACATTATTTCCTATTACTGTTTTGTCAATCGGTATTAAAATACTCAAGACTCACACATCGCAAAAACTCCACTATGCACTCTTATGGTTTAAAATCAAAGAAAGAGGCTGAACAGGCCTTCCTCACATTTTTAAAGCAGCTTGTAATATGAAAATCTTTCTGTAGGAGTCTATTTACTGGGAAGGTACGGGCAGAAGAAAATCAGAGAAATCCAAGAACGAGAGGCAGCTGAATACATCGCCCAAGCACGAAGGCAGTATCATTTTGAAAGCAATCAGAGGACGTGCAATATGACAGGTAAGACAATGAAATTACTTCTGTTCTTCATAGGTGGAATTATTTGGGGATTTATACTACTTACTGACAAGATAAAAGAAGAATAAGAAATGTAGGTGAATTCAAAAAATTAAATACTAGTGGATAAATACAGTCATTTTGCATAGTAAAACCGGTGTCTGAAGAACAGAGGAGTGAAGGTGTTTCTAGGGGTCATCTTAACCTTTGGTTTGAATATATACATCTGTAATTCATATGAATATACATGCAGGTTACAATTTTTTGTCAATTCAAGACCCTTTGTGTGTTGCCCTAAACTGCATGTGGTATTGGGGTCTGAAACAGCACCCAGATTCAAACAGTACTGAATTTACAGCAGGGTTATTTTACTCATTATAGCACATTGTTAGTAAGCTACACGGAGAGCTTGGTGGGTAATTTTTGTTTGCAAATAAGAAGCACATCAGCCCATTAGTTCCCTACATTTTAACAGTTAAAAGGTACCTGACTAGCTGGGGAGGAAAAAGTGAAAAGGTTTGTATTACGGTACTGGTCTTTAGAGTTTTGGAGAGGAGATGGTAGGGTAGAGTTTAACAAAATCCTTGTCATTCTTGTAAGTACAGGCCATTCAAAACTGTTTCTATAAAACAAACTGGGCAGCATTTTCTTTTCCTGTTGAAATTTGTAATGGCTTCTTAGATGGCTGCAAATGCTTTCCGTGCACTGTGTGTATCCTGACATGAAATACTCTGGCATTTTATTTTCATCTTTTCTATTTGTAGTGCTGGGATTGATTTTTACTGCAAGGACTTTTTCTTTGCCCTTCATTGTATGAAATACCTTCTCTCTGGCAGCGTCTGTTCTTGTCGAGATTTTTCATATTTTGTTCTTAGTATTTCTTCTGTTCTGTGCATGCTTGTTTTCCATTTCCTGTTCCCATCATATAACAGCAGATTGTAACACTGAATATTCTGAAACTAAAGGATTATTTTTTTCCCCAACAGCTTTCTTTTGTTTAAAACATACCTTTCTCTGGTCCTCTTGTTGGGGGAAAAAAAACAAACCTCAGATCTTCTTATTCTCATTTGGAGAAATGCAGCAGTATAGATTTTTCGCCACATTTTCATCTGGGGAGTTGAAGACATATATGCAGGATATGAGTACACAGCTGCAGCTAGAGCCAGCACAGACATACAGCCACATAAGGCAGCATTGTGCCCAAGCTCGTAAGAGGCACGCATGTAATTGCACTTCTGAGTACTCCCAGGGTTTTCTGTTTTCCTATTTCGCTTGTCCTCACGGCTTTGTTGAGCAATGGGATCTGCATTGTATAGCAGCTATTGAGTGAGAGCTGAGGTTAGGTTTATTATTATTATTATTTTTATGTTGACATATTTTTTCTCTTTTTTTTTTCTTATAATAACAGTGCTGTCAATGCTTCCAACTTTGAGGGATGCCTTAATGCATCAATTAAATTCTGAGAGTCTCACATCCCTTCTTAAAAATAGGTAAGACTGTTTTGTTAATTGTGTTAAAGATCACTTGTTTCACTCATAAGATAAGGTGGTTTTCAAATTACATATTTATAATGCAGAGAACATGCAGGATTTTGGTTCTGTGTCCCATTGAGTCACCAGTCTTAAAGTATTTTGAAATCACTGTGTAAATATTTTGTATTGTGTTAGATGTATTTTGATAGGTAGGGCTGGTATTTTCCAAACATTACAAGAAATATTAATTCCTTTAAGGTGCTGCAGTGAGAGCCATGGTTTTTGTTAAAGTGCTTATAAGATAGGCAGATAAAGTACTTACAAGATGTAGTCCCCTTTTAAACAGGACAGAGTATCTTGACTGAGTTGTTAATGTTGTTTTTATGAAAAGGTAAAAATCTTATCAAGGTCAGACATGAATAGTAGTGGAGAGTATCCAAGGTGAGATTGCAAATGGATATAAGCTATGAGAAGTCATTTTTTTTCTTTTTTGAAATAGAACAATTAGGGGCATGTCATACATTAAGAGGAATGCTTCCCTGTCAGAAAATACCTTTGATTTCCTTATAACTGCAGGAACAAACAGCATGTTTTTAAATACATAAAGTGCATAATAGCATACCTTAAAAGTAGAGTAAGCTGCTTGGCATTTGGCATGGAGTAAAAGTGTTATGTAGGCAGTTAACACGGGGTTTCTGACTCACTCTAGACTGCTTTTCTAGTTTTCCTCCCACTAGTTTATTTATATAGCTATAACTTCAGCTGACCAGAATTTAATAGATTACCTATCCTGTCATTGTCTTTTTTCAGTCAAAAAAATCCCACAAGGCAACAGAATGTGGCATCTAAAGTGGGAGTTACACCCTGAACGATGTTTTTGTAACAGATTATCTGAGAATTTGCAACTGTAATTGAATATTATTTACCCCAAACAACAAGAAATTAGGAAAAGTTAATTTTAATGGAATATTTACTGTATTTTTCATAATAAGTGTTTTACTCAATGAAAAATTAATTTCCACTGTCAGGCTTAATACTTGCAGGCTTAAACTGTTACGTGGCCGTTGCCTTATTTTGTGAGGAGAAACTCTGTAAGCATGAGCTCCAGAAAACGTTTTGACATAATGGGTGCAAATGTAGTTGGCAGATGTTGATGTATTGGCTTCTCTTTCTCTCTTCAGTTGGCATGGAACACTTACCACTCATAAGTAACAAATATGGTCCTGTTACGTGTTTTATCTATAGAAATATTACTTTATTTTTTAACAGTCTTTCCTCTGTTTTGCTTTAGAATAGCTTTTAAAACTGTTGATTTAGCTTGCAAAAAGAGAAGTGTGTAAACTGTTTTTGTATGTGCCATGGATCCTTGTATCTCTCCCAGCTATCCTTTCTTTACTCTGTCGCTTTACTTTTTTGGAGTTGTAGACTTAATAGTTCGTTATATCAGTTCATTCATGTTACTTGATAGCAGTGAGCTTAAAAATTCATTGTTTATGTAAGTGATATAATCGTCAAACTAATACCAAAGTGCACGTGTTTGTTCCAGACAGATGAACACATTCCTCAATGTTAAATTATGCCTATAAAGTGAAATGATTTCGGGTGAAAAGTGTATTATTTTTCATAAACTAGGTTACTGTAAAGTCTAAGCATAGGTTAATTTGAACTATCTGCCCTAAATATTTAAATGTTAATTCTGATCCGAAGAAATGACCGAATGTTTCTCTAAGTGACTTTCACAAATTATTTCTTCCATGATACAGCTAGAGTAGCCATTCTTCGCTGCTGGTGCTTAACAGTCAGGCGAGAAGGGCTGATGAAACTTTTTGGATGGTTAGCTTTCTCCTGTCTCTGCCACTGCTGCTACGTTGCTAAAGTCACCTGTGGATGGTGGTTATAAATATGCAGTGTACCTTAGGCAGTTCAGGTGTATCTATGCAATCTACAGTCTTGCTCCTTTGACTGCATAATATATAGAATTTTAGGAATTGTTTAGGTAAAAAAAGCAAGCATGCCTCAACAAAAGAAGGAAGACCAACTTGCATTTATGTGCGTGGCGCAAGAATTCTTTTCCACAGATGGTCATGATCTCTTTGTTTTTTGCTGGTCAAATCTGAACTTTAAGACCACGTCAAGCCATGGTGAATCTTGCAAGAAAGTAGGATATAGAAATTCTGATGCTGTGCTTATTATGCACAGGTGGATACGGGAAGCCCTGCGGAACTAAGGTCTACATATCCAGGATCAAGGCCCCAGGAAAGACCACTTTGTACCACCAGTGGGCTTTTTCCGACTGCTTAGCATAGTAACTCAAAATTGAAAATATAAGTGTATAATTGCCATCACTAAATACTACATTTATACATTAAAGTTTGAATATCTTTTCTGTGACTTCATAGTGTATTGCTTATATACTGCTTTCTTGAATGAGGCAAATCAATGTAGACAGGAATGTGAACTGAGTAGTTATAGTAGTTAAATGAGCTCGCCGTAGAGCACTGTTTCATTTAATGTATTTTTTAATTTCAAAGGAAAATATACATTTTAATGTTTAATATTTTCATTTATTTTTCCTACAGGCCAGCAAACAAGTTAGAAATATGGGAGGATTTAAAGATAATAAGTAAGTGGAAACAAAAGATTCCATCTGCATAATATTTAGCATAAATTTTAAATGTTGTTCACACCCTTTAAAATGCACACTTTGTGCTGGCTTGTTGTTTCAGTAGGTACAAAGATAGTGTAACATGCTACATGGCAAATCTTTTCCAGAAGCTCAGAGATGAAGGTGAAGAATTATATTGGCCTTCATGCTACCCTGCTCAAGAAAACTTCGCGAGAGCTTTCTGTGCCATCACAGGAAAATCAAACTAGTTTTTCAGAAAGTTCTGTGCTGAACCTAACAGAAGACATCAATCAGAAATGTAGGCCATCCCTTACATGGCCAGCAACTTCCTCTTTTCAAGCCTGTTTGAGATAACCACCATAGCAGTGGCTATGAACCCTTTGGTTCATCATTTTATTTATTGGCTGATGGAAGCAGTGGAAGGGAAGGAAGAATAGTGAAGTCGGATAATTATGTAGTGAAATACTATTGAGCTTTTTTTGCTACTTTTGATTCCTTGGTACTGTTTGTTATCCCTACCACCTCTCTGGTTTTGCCTTTCCTTCCTTTAAGTTTTGTTTCTCCTTTTCACAACACCTCTACAGATCCTGCTTCTGATCTGGCTACTTTTTGCCCGTGTCGTTGCTATTCAGCACTCATCCAGATTTATTCATGTCACTTCTTCCACACATCCTCTGTTGTCTAGTGGCTGGTAGCTGATGCTCGTTTTAATTTTCTTTAGTTACTGGCTGCTCCTTCCTTAGGTAACTTTTTTCTCAAGCTGCTGGTATGCCTTCTGTGTCTTAATTGCATGACGGAGGCTGAGGTACTGTGTGTATTTCCTGGCCTAATGAAGAAAGATGACTTGACAGTACATCCAGTTTCCTTCTGGAGTAACTTGTATAATTTTTATTTGTTTCCCAAAATAACTTGAGTAACGTGCCAAATTGTATTAAAATAGAACTTCAAATGGGACACTTTAGATGTAGTTCCAGCACATATTAGAGTCATGATCATCTTGGGTATGTGTTGTGAAAACGTGTGTTGTGACAATTAGTGAGAGAGACTGTATTTAAAAATCATGAGCACTTCTTGAGTCTTGGAGAGTACTCTCCTTCCTTGGCTCACTGTTATTTCTTTTTCTTTGATGTTGAAGTTATTCTGTTGTCTCTTTTACAGGTTTCACAAGAAGCATTGTAGCTGTATATAGTACCTGTATGCTAGTAGTTCTTTTGCGAGTCCAGTTAAATATTATTGGTGGTTACATCTACCTAGATAACGCTGCACTCTGCAAAAACGGCACAGTAAGTTTCCTGTTTTGTTTCAAAGGTTGAACTTCCACTTTCTCGGAAGTGAAAGGATTATTTAGTGAGAGATAAAAAGGGCATAGCTTAGGAGTGTTAGAATGAAAGCAAGAGCTCTTACAAGAGTCGGAGATGTGGAAGCATTACTGGAAGTAAGATATATTGATGTGTTTTAATAGCCTCTAAATTTGGATGATTTGGCAATACTCTTGCTTAACAGAATACTAGCAATATTGAAGAATACCTTTTCTCTGCATTTGTATTGCTTAAAGAAGGTTACTTCATATCTAAAGACCAACATAAAATAATTTCTTTGCTTTCATTAATCTTCTGTGAAACAGTAATATTGTGTGAATGATCCAAGATGTGTATGCAAATGTATATAAATGCTTAGGTCTTCCTAGCACGTACATTAATTCTGCCAGTTAAATTTTCCTAGGATTAAAGAAGAAAAATGTTGTCTTTGAAATTTTGACTATTTTGTTTAACTCCAAAAGGGCATCTACCTTAAATGTCCATTGGTGGGGCTAAGCAAGGTGGAAGACTTGCTTTTTGTTTACAGGGTGTGTCTATCACTGCTCAATAAAAATAGATCAGTCCCACAGTAAGCAATTAACCATTGTGCAGAGTGAGATCTGCAAATTGTTGGATCGCTCATCTAAAAATAATGGATATGAACTTCGATTAGTTGTCATATGTCCCTCTGTGACAGCTCCTGCTCAGAGTCAAGGAACAGCATGTCAAGGCCGGTCTGAGAAAAGCTTCCATTAGGGAGGCCGGGGTTGATGGAGGCTACACTTCATTTTGTAAAAGCTTTTTTAAAAGGGCAAGAAGAGCTTGGACTAGAAACGTGTTTCCTTTCTGTTACTTTTCCAGTAGAGAAGTGAGTTGACAGGGCCAACTCTGAGGCACACTGCTGGAGCAAACTGGGGTCCTGTCTCAGTTGCGGAAAGCTGCTTCTCTGTCCGATAGGCTCTTGTTAGGTTTGAGCATAAATACTCTATTCCACTAGGTTTTGTTTTTGGGGTGGTGGAGGGTCTAGTTCCACCTGCAATGCAGTTTTTCAAGTGACTTTCCTATGTATGAATGAAAAGCGAAGGACTTTCTGTGCCACTGAAGATGGAAGAGAGATCTGTATAGTATTGAAGAGAAGAATGCCAGGGGACTTATGAAGGGTCCATGGGTCGGTGGCAGGAAGAAGAGTCAGAAGCTAGAGAGTTGTGTGAATATAGGGGAATCCAGCTGCTGCAGGGTATTGTAAAGATTGAGAAAATTGGTTGCAAGTGGTTTTAAATGATTTTTGCATTGTTCTCTACTGTTGGCATGTCACAACTGTTGGTTTGGTTTTTTTTTCCCATAGACACCACTGGCTCCCCCTGAAGTTCAGCAGCAATATTTATCAAGTATTCAGCACCTTTTAGGAGATGGTACGGTGCTTATTATGAACTAACTACACTTACAAAATTTTACTTTTTTCTAGACTTTAGAAAATCACTAGAATAATTTTGACACTTTCTTCCTCCTAGGACTGACCGAGTTAATAACTATTGTTAAACAAGCTGTGCATAAAGTTTTTGGAAGGTAAGAGTCTGTATTTCTCTGTGGGTAGCTTGTAAGCTTTTATTGTGCTGACTGTTCCCAAAACAATGTTTTATTAGAACACCTTCCCCCCCACCCCACCCCCCCCCACCACAACAACCCCCCCCCCACCCCCCCCCCCCCCCCAAAAAAAAAAAGGTGTACTGACTTTCTAAAACAACTTTTTTATTATAGCAGGCTATGTCTGCCAGAGCAAACCAATGTAGCAGATTGGGATCCTGTTACTTGTGAACATGTTATCGGTAGGAGGACAAAGCATCATTATGCATTTTGCAATCAACACTGTAATATTTTTCCTTTCCAGTATTTCCCTTAAGCACACCCTATCTCTTCTGGAGCTGGAACAGAAACTTAAAGATATCAGGAAGGTAGTGGAACATAAAGATTCAGATCAGACTGCATCTTATTCTCCCTTATGTCATTATCTGATGCCAGATGAAGAAAACCCCCTGGCTACCCAGGTACTTGTGTCAGTTTCTTTCATCTACCGTTTTTCATTCTGCTTTTTTCGTTTGTGTGTTTTGGGGAGGAAGGGTACATAACAGTCCTCTAGTTGTACCATGGCATCTGTATCTTTAATAAATAGTGATGCCTCTTCCATCATAAATCAATTCGCCAATGGTATGAGGTTCAACAAGGCCAAGTGCCGGGTCCTGCACTTGGGTCACAACAAACCCATGCAGCGCTACAGGCTTGGGGAAGAGTGGCTGGAAAGCTGCCTGGCAGAAAAGGACCTGGGGGTGATGATGGACGGCTGGCTGAATATGAGCCGGCAGTGTGCCCAGGTGGTTGAGAAGGCCAACAGCATCCTAGCCTGTATCAGGAATAGTGTGGCCAGAAGGACTAGGGAAGTGATCATCCCCCTGTACTCGGCACTGGTGAGGCCCCACCTCGAGTACTGTGTTCAGTTTTGGGCCCCTCACTACGAAAAGGACATTGAGGTGCTGGAGCGTGTCCAGAGAAGGACTACAAAGCTGGTGAGGGGTCTGGAGGACAAGCCCTCTGAGGAACAACTGAGGGAACTGGGGTTGTTTAGCCTGGAGAAGAGGAGGCTGAGGGGAGACCTTATCACCCTCTACAACTACCTGAAAGGGGGTTGTAGAGAGGTGGGGGCTGACCTCTTCTCCCTGGTGACAAGTGATAGGATGAGAGGAAATGGATTCAAGTTGTGTCAGGGGAGGTTTAGACTGGATATTAGGAAACATTTTTTCACTGAAAGGGTTATTAAACATTGGAACAGGCTGCCCAGGGAGGGGGTGGATTCTCCATCCCTGGAGGTGTTTAAGGAAAGGGTACATGTGGTGCTTAGAGACATGGTTTAGAGGTGGTTTTGTCAGGGTAGGTTGATGGTTGGACTTGATGATCTTAAAGGCCCCTTCCAACCTTAGCGATTCTATGATTCTAAGTGTCCTTATCGCTTTAATTTATGCGAAGTAAAGTTGTAGTTTCTTCAGATTTGATTGAAAACAAGCGTCATCCTCAGAAAGTCAGCTTTGAGCTCAGAAACACACACAGTTACTGCTTTTAGCCTGTGATATATGCTGTAACACAATGCAGCTTAACTCAGCCCTAAGGTAAATTGTATTACCTTGCGCTTATGCACTAGCAAAGATCATGGACAGTTGTAGCACTTTGGCTGATGGACAAGGTGGTGACAGTGTGCTGGAGTCCTTTGTTGATTTGGGCTGGAAAATGAACAGGAGTCAAGAGAAAGATGTATTTAATCTCAGTTGTAACATAAAGTAATTTTCTAAAGGTGTTTGTCTCTATCCGCACCACAGGTTGGAGAAAACTCATTCTTAACTTGGTATTAGACTAGTAAAAAGAAGAAACTTCGGTTTCAGCATGTGACTCCGTGCACTTATCCCTTTAACTTAATCTGATATGCAGTGTTTATTTCCATTTTGGAGGTCAGAAGTGGAAAAAATACTTTGCTCAATTAGTCTGGTATTTCCTGCTAATATTGGTTTTAGTAAAAACAAATAAATAGAATCCTACAGTGCCCCTTTAAAAGGAAAATGAGAATACAAATTATGAAGGATCTGATTTACAACAATAAATCTTTTCTTTTGAATAGATTTGACTTACACATCTTGACTTAATTCCATGGTCCATGGTACAAAACTCTGCTTTCTACTCTTATGGTTGCCAATGGATTTCTTACTAAGTAGTGTCTGTGTTTGCTTTTTTTAGGCCTGTGGACTCACAGAAAGAGATATCGCTACAATCAAATTACTTAATGAAACTAGAGATATGCTAGAAAGGTATGGAGAAATATCCTGTATTCATATTAAACTCCTCCTCACAACTATTGTTTATGTAAGACAATTACTTTCATACAAAAAGCTGTCAAACTTAATTTGTGAAATGTGACCACTCTGCTGCATTAAATTTTTATATTCACTACTTGTAGGCTGAGATTTTCAAAATTTGAGAGCTCTGAAACTCATTTATAAAAAATAATCCTGCCTTAACAAGATGACCAGGATGTCCTTCCCAGTCAGACCCCCTTATCTCTTCCTCACCTTTTCTGTAGTTATGCAGGAACAGAGGAGTACTTCTCTTCTGCTAAAGCGGGGTAAATTGAGAGTCATTTTATTGGATTTACTTGCTTTAATAAAATGAACACCGGTTTTGGCTTATCAGAATTTATTTTTCATGCATGGGTTCGAGCGTGGTTGTATGCATCCTTTTACCAGAGCGCTCCTAAAGGGAGGCTTCTATAATAAACACTGAATATGAGGGAATTGAGCCAAATGCCAGACTATTCTTATAATTCAGCTGCTAGAGATCTGGGGCTTTTTAAGGATAAGTCCCTTCTGTGTTACTGCTTAATAAAAAAGAGAAGTGAGGAACGCTTTAGATTTGTCTGGGATTTAGTAACCTTAGGGTAGAGTGTAGCTTGTTGATTGGTTTGCTGTGGAGTTACTGGGGAGCTGGTCTTTCTTGAGGTGGCTATACGAATGGCCTTTGTCTGGGTGATACACCTTCCATTATGGGAGTGACATATGTAGCACTGAATACTTGCAGGGTTTTCTAGTTTAGAAAAATAAATCCCAGGAATCAAACTACTTTTTTTTTTTTTTTTCTTCAGTCCAGACTTCAGTACAGTTTTGAGCATGTGTTTAAATAGAGGATTTAGTCGACTGCTGGACAATATGGCAGAGTTCTTTAGACCTACTGAACAGGACCTCTCTCAGAATGGCTCTGTAAATAGGTAAATGTTTTCTTTTATTGTGGTTCTCGGGTGAATAATGCTTTGGGTTCATAGTGAATTCTAAAAAAAGGCTATGGATTTTCCTGCCTACTTCAAGTTCTCATGTTGGTAGTAATTCTGCTTCTTGCTTTTTGAGAATAAATTTGGTCTCCTCACTTTGGTCAAGTAGTCAGCATCGCATGTTTCTTCCCACCCATGAAATCGCTAGAATTTGTGAGGTATCTTTCCCACCATTAATTGCAGATGTAGAAGTAGAAAGCGGAAGACCTATACCTTCCACTTTTTGCCTGAACGCTGTATAAGCAGACTGCCTTTCTAGCTAAGGAGGATTTACCCCACTGGTGGTAACTACTGAAAGGCGTATCACAGTACCTTCCCTGAGGGGCAGCGTTCCCCTGCAGTAAGCAGACAGCCTCTGTACGCCCCAGACTCTGTCAATTGCCCCGGTTCTCGAGGAACGTGGGCATTACTGTGATTCTCCAAATCACACACCTGCAGAGCTTTAGGGTCTTCACTGTTATGTCGAAAAAAAGATACTAACATTCAGGATCTTCTACCTCTTCCCAGAAGACTGTTTAAAAATGCTTTTATTCTGAAGTCAACTTTGGTTGTAAACAGTGCCATGAGAGTGCTACAAATCCAAAAACTGAGTTCAAATCCTTGAAATATGATTTCTAGAATATGAAAATTAAAACCTTGAATAATAACTGGGTTTATGGATGTTTATTTTAATAACTGATGGCTCTGAGAGCAATGATTTTATTTAAATATATACTATTTACATCACTTAAAATATCCCAAAGGTTGTAGTTTGGCTGTCTGTCCTAAGCCTGGTTTAGAGTTTGAAATAGACTGACACTTCTAACAACTGTTTACATACACACAGTAAAGACTCTGCCTAAACCATATTTCTCTTACATGAGAAGCAAGTGTGAAACTGTGTGTAATAGGAACACCAACTGAAATTTGCTGTTCTGTTAAAGACTTGATAGGGGAAAAAAAAGTTCATCTGTACATTTCAGTTTGCAGATTTTCAACTCTTCCTTTTGGCATAGTAATTATTTAGAATTGTAATAATCACAGTTTAATGGCTTTACTATGTCAGAGCAGGTCTAAGTCAATATTTTGGGGTTTTTTTTCTAGTCTTTCCAGTGTCAGTCTTCCTTTAGCCAAGATAATACCAATAATAAATGGACAGATTCATTCAGTATGCAGTGAAACACCCAGTCACTTTGTTCAGGTAAGAATCTTCCTTATTTAAAATATCCCAAGTAAAATTTTGAAATTAATGTTGTATATTTCTTTTTAATAACGTACTTCATTCTGTTCAACTTCTGTGGCTTTAAAAAAAAACACCAATGTAGAAACAACTGGCATAACTTAATCTTTCTGTAAGTTTGTATTTTCCAAAAATACGCTATTTCTCTAAAGTGTCTTTCCTCTGCTAAACTGTGCAGATGCACAAAAAGGTCTCTTGACTTGGTTCTACTTGCAGTTCTGCCCATAACCCTTTCTAAAGCAAGAAATTTGAGTTACCTCTGTGTGGGAGTGACAGGTGCTTTTCACACGGTGAATTATGTACTGCAGCTAAACCAGAATAGTGGTGGATGTGTTTTGATTAAGCAAATTTATTCTTTAAATTTCTTCCAGGACCTGTTGATGATGGAACAAGTGAAAGATTTTGCTGCTAATGTTTATGAAGCTTTTAGTACTCCTCAGCAACTAGAGAAATGAACTGCACATTTATAGGAATAGATCGTGTATTTATAACAAATCCCTTGTGACTACTGATGAGACTTGGGTTAATTTTATAATGGCGTAGGAGTGGTAGACCAGCAGAAAGAACATTCTGAAAAAAAGTGGGAGTGAACCCATATCTGTTCTAATAGAATTCTGTTTCAAACATCCATTAAAAATATTCTTGTTGAAAGAATCATTGTATGTAAAGACTTTTCTATTAAAAAAGTGGTTAAACTCTTCCATAATTCATTATTTTTATTGCATCTGCAAGGCACCTGGTGGCAGTATTATAACAAGTTATTTGCCTGGGGTGTGTAAGTTTTGGAAAAAACTAAGGATAGTGATCTAAGAATAGCACAGAGTAGCAGAATGAAGTAAGGCTTCTTTCTTCTCCTCTCAAATTTTTCTTTTTATGAAGGAAAACTTTTTTTCCTTAACTCTACAAATGTTATTCCAAAGAGTCTCTCATTCTTCAGAAAGCCTTTGCCAACTGATACATGTTCCTTTTGAACAGGCTGAGGAGGGGCGCTCTCTCTGTTACTTAATACTAAAGGAATGTGGATTTTTAGAAGTTCTCTTGTTTATGCTGTTCAAACAGCTACACTGTACACATTAACTTGTAAATATTTTATCTTAATTTGTATTAATTTTGAGCCCAATTGTCTGTATTGTAATAAAATATTTTAATGTAAAATTTGTGTGTGTATTAATATTCCTAGCAGGAAAGGCAATAACCTCATTTGGCCGAGTACTTAAAATCTTGACGTAACTGAAAGAATAAATTCAACTTACATAGTAATAGTTTTGCACTTATTAACATTACTCAGGAAAAATAAACTTTTGCTCTTTACATTGAAACAATTCATGCTTTTTGTTGTTATATACCTCTCCCTCTTTGCAAACTTCACATTACAGGTCTGTCTACAACAGGGACATGATGAGTTTGGGAATTGTTTCAAGTTGGATGCAATCTACCCTCTGCTTAAAATACTGTCTCTCTGCCACAGCTGAGGATCCCTAGCAACTCCTGGTTATTTCCCTTTTTTTAAAAAGTTAGTCACTGAAGCATATGTTTTGTTTAACAGTCCACAGAAGGCACCCTGGTAACTGTAAAAACAATGTCTGTAAACAAGAGTCAGCCTTAACCATGTAAAATTATACAAAACATCAAAAAACCCCTCCCACTTTACTTGTATCCCAATAATGGATAGAATTAACAGTCAGAACATGTAAAATTAATGATTTTCATGATGAGAAATGAAGATGTACATATGCATTGCTTCCACACATTTGTGATGGATTCCTGACAAGATTATTCTTGCAGATGCATGACCCTGCTCAGCTGAAACTTACCAGCTGCCAGTTGAACACACCTGGGAAAAGTTTATTCTTTTCTCTAAAACTGACGGTTTTTACTGTACTGTTTTGTGGAAGTTAAACTTCTTGCACTAAAGAAGGTATACAAGTGACTCCTGTGGATTTGCTGTCTGATCTATTGCACACTGGCTTGAGCTAGCTTTATTCTTTTCCATGGCTTTAAAAATTTAGTGTCTGTTCCCCTCCCCCCCTGCCCCCCCCACTTCTTATAACTTGGCAAGAAACTGACTAAAAATGTGAAGAGGTCAAGGTAGATGCTCAGTTTTCACACAAGTTCAAAGAAACAAATTGTATGCAGAGATTTGACTATCAAGTGCTAGATTTGATGTGAGGGTCATTCCATTCCATCCTTTAATAACAGCACAACTTTCATTAAAAAGTGAAATTATTGCTGTTTCTCAGTCAAACAAATCAGAGTTAAAAACCAGTGATGCCCAGAAACTGGGGAAAACATCAGCACTCCCTATTAGCCGAGGCTCCAGTGGTGTATGGCTCAGTTTACGTCAGTCAGTTGCAAAGTCCAGCCCCACTGACATGGCAACTGCCGAAGAGTTAATTGAGGTAGAGATACTATGATTCCCTTTTCTCCCAGTGCAACCCATTTCAGTGATTCCTTGTAGCCAACCAGCTTCACCTGGGAGAGAAACACACACTACAATTAGAACAGTGCTTTTCTAAAGCGTGCAATATTGACCAAAAAAATGTTCCATCGCTACTTTACTATCCAGTTAAATGCCACTTATCAACAAACTGAATGCTAAAACAATGATTGAAGATAGTAGAAAAATACTTGCAAGTAGATGCGTAAGTAATAAAGCTAGTGATGTTGGGTCTTGAGAAGTACGTAGGTCTGTAAAAGGTACATAAACACTTTTCAGAAGTATTTCAGAAGGCATTTGGGTCTAAGCAGGGATGCAGGTACCACAGCACACAGCTCTGTATCACCTATTTCTGAAATGCCCGTTTCCCACGGTGGAACTTGTAGTCTTGAGCGAGCAATGTTTGTCCAACGAGTGCAGCCAGATAGCTCAGAACAAAGCTGACCTGAAGAACCCCTCCACTAAAAGCACACAACTAGGTTGTATGGTGAGACACTTATACCAGCTGGTGAAATGCAGAAAATAGTGCAGCAGCTGAAGACCAGTCTCTCCCCCGGAGGAACATTATTCTCATGTGCACATACAGTCTAGATGCCTACACAAAATTCAAGATGCATCTACGTAATTTCTGAAACATCCCTTTCTTCCTTATCACAGAGCTGTCTTGCACTAGTTAGATTATTTTCCTATGGAACTAGACCTAAAGAGACAGTCCAGAAACACACTTAATGAATTTCAGCAGCTAGCAGACATCCAATGCATGAGACCAGGACAGAGCTAAGCCAAAGTGAATGCTCACCTTAAACGCACCACGTGGATGTCAAGTCCTGAGCACCAGCTGTTCTGCTCTATAAATCTGCTTCCCCCAGGTTACGCTACTTGCTGATGTAGTTGTGGCATCAGTGTCCTCAACTTCTGACCACCGCTTGCTCCGAGACACACATCTAGGGTCACGCTGACTTACTATTTAGCATACCTCGGCAACGAAAACCTCTGTGTGCTTTCCCTTGGTGCAAGGCTTTGACTTGAAACTACTGCACCATTACAGCAATTACAATATCACCAAAGTCATGAGGATGGATATTTATAAAGAAAGGTCATGCTGAGTTAGAGTCTACACAGGAAACGGGAGGGGCGGCAGGGTTTTTTTTTCCTGCTGCTTGGCCTCTTTTTATGATCCTTAGTTTGCAAGCTAAAACATATCCCAGCAACAATTCAGTCTAACTTTGTTGGAGAAGAAACATCCCACTGGGAGGACTATGACAAGGAGGTCCCAGAACAAAACCAAACATTTTGCTGGGTCTCTTCCAACATGCTCTGTCCTTGGAGCTATGCATTCCCAAAGATGCCAGAAACTAAAATAAACACTGATGGAACGTGACAAATCCTAGAGGTGTTCTCCTTCAGAGTATGCTCATTTCTTGTGCTGTGTGTTAAAAGCCTCACTTTTCTTAAGGGGAAGGGGGGAGTGGGGATGTGTCGGGGGGTGTCTTTTACCTGTGTTTCTCCAAGCTTGGCCTGCGGCTCACCAAGTTCCAGCGTCCCAGAGACTGGCCAGTTAAGGAAGATAGCATTGACTTTGTCTTCTTTAGGGCTGAAAGTGTACCTGGTTGGACATGGGGAACAGAAAGGCATGTCAGTTCTTCCTTGTAAATTTTCCAAAGTGATAGATAGAGTGCTTTCAATACTGGAAAAAATGCATTTGACAGGTTGGCATTAATTACATTTTCACACATATAACCCTATTTTTAGACAATTTATACCCTTTAATAAAGTACTGTTCCTTGAACATAACGGTCCAACAAACTAGAGGTAATACAGACTATTGAAGAACTGAATTTAGAGGTAAACATCTGCAGTAACTTTAGCAAGCACATAGTAACTCACTGCTGCTCAGCCATGTAGGAAGGAGGTACTTGCAGGGAAGGGGGAATCATTAATTATGGGAAATATTCAGAAAAATATGGTAATTCACATCTACACAAAAACATACAGACATTCCACTAAAAAAATTTAAAAAGTGTATGTGTGACAATAGAGTTTCCACCTTGCATAGCTAGTTTTTTTAAAAATTGAATTTCAGCAGACGTTTATCTACAGTACATCCTTGGAAATCTTGTGGCATATGCTTGAAAAATTCCTCCCTCCTTCCTTCATTTAGTTACAATTTTTTTATTGCTCTTGGAAGGGGTTTTACCGAACAGTCAACAGATCAGCATTTCAAGGCTAAAGCCGGTTACCCAAATCTTAGTGGGAACAGGAGTCAAAAGGCCCACTGTGGCAGAGACGAGGGTCAATACCAAAAACCTGATGGATCACTGAGGTGTTACAGCAGCCACGAGGCACAAAGGCAGAGGAGAGTCCAGAGACTGGCTGAATTTAGTGACCAAACAATTGCTGTTACCGTTCCACGCGTTTTTACCTTAAAAAGAAATGCAGACTATGCTAGACTGATTTCTATTTTCTTTCTCTCCTTCTCTCTAAACAGTGACACCAAGTATTCCTTTATACAGAAAAAGACTTCATAGCAGTTTTGTATTTCCAGATTTATATTTTTTTTCTAGTTTCTGTTGCCAGCTACACTACAAAGCACAAGGTCCATAAGGAAATACTGGCAACCTTCCCTTCAGCCTCAGCATCATCCCAAAACTACGGTCTCTGACATCCATTGTCTACCTACAGTTTTATACACACTTTTATGTGCAGTTCCTTACACTGACATGAGTTAATTTCTTCACAGCATACAAACTAAGCTGGTGATTGCCGTAGCATCAAGTCATTAAGAATCTCAAAATTTCACATATGCTGCTGCTGCTTTACGCAGCCTACGCTGACTCAGCAGCCTTACCACACTTCTGATGTCACCGTGTCATTTTGTGCTCTCCATGGTTTCGTTCCATAGATGGCTTCTCCGTTGACTTTCAGCCAGGCACCCATCTGCCTCAGGCGCTCCTCAAATATAACAGCGATGCGACCATCGTGAGTGGGCCCAATATTCATCAGGAGATTTCCTCCGCAAGACACTGTTTCTACAAGTTGCTGAAATGTTTTTAAACACACACACAGAACATATGGTTACGGCTAATGAAATCATGTATTTGAAGCTATTTCTAAAGCCAGGCACGCTGCTTCAGAACAATGAACTGAACGAGTTATGTTACTGCTGCATGTTTAGATTCTGGGGGACACCCCAACAGTCCATACAAAATTTAAACTTGCAGAAAAGAAAGCTCTGCTGTCAATTTATATGGCAGAAAACAGGCCAAAAATACATTTTTGCACCAATATGTCTGACATTAGAATCAGATCCTACAACTTTCTAACATTTCAACTTCTGCAGGAATTTCATGAGGGTTTTCCTGATGGAACATATAGATGATTTCTCTACACAAGAGAAAAACTAGAAACACTAGCACCTGCTAGGGTTTATCTCTCTGTCTGTAATAAACGTGTTGGTTTTTTTCTTTAAATGAAGTGGGATGAACAGAAAGCTTCTCATTACAAGGCAAAAAGACTATTAAGACTTAGAAACTGTTTCTAGCTAGAAGGGGGAAAAGATGTAGCCTTCAATCAGGAGTTCCTAAACAGGAACTGTGAAACTGCTTCTCGTCAACTTCAAGGTGCAGTCACTAGAAAAACTTAGTAGAAAAGGTAATTATGAGTCTATCCAGACCAGCCTTTGGCTCACAGGGAACACAACTTCTAAGAAACTGACTGAATTTTTACTAGATAATTTTTCTCTTAGTCATTTCTATAAAATTAGTAAGAATTACACAGATATTCCATCCTGCTAACGTTAGGCTGCAAAGGAACAAAGTGATTTATTATTTCTTTGATTCATTAATCAATTAAAATAATATTTATTAAAATAGATACATAATTTAAATGTTATACAGCATAATATAATAATCAGGAGGGAGAATCAGAAGTTCCAGGCAACTCCTTTGTCCCACTGTACCTTCACCAAGTCCTCGATTGTGAGGTAATCGTCAAGCTGTGCGTTCCTCCTGTACCCCCACGACCTCTTGTCAATAGTCATACAGTTCTCCCACTTGTGAGGCAGGAGGTGTCCAGGGTTATACCGGTCACTGCAAGTGTAGAAGCCGCCGTGCGTACAGATGCTGCCAACTCCCCAGCGGTCATTGGTCACAACTGTGTCCCGAACTGGACTAGAAACAGAGAAGATTTAAGGTATTTATTCTAAAAAACGCAGCCACAGCCAGTGTAAGCCCTTCCCACACACACCCCTCCCAGAAACTAACATTTAGGATGACTTCTGTACTATGACTTTATTACAATTAGATTAAGTGCAATTTCAGGAATCCTGTTCTCATCCTTTCCCAGTAATAGGTCCAGATCGGCATTTCTTAGGGAAATATGCTGCAGACTTTCACAGGAGGCCTGCCAGAAAGCAGCCTGCACTTCACATCCACTGCCAGATGTTCAGTCTGCAATGACAACAAGGTACCCATATTCTCAAATTATCCTGCTATCCTGTTTGTCTGTGCAGTAGACAATACTTAGGGAAGAATATGATTAGGTAGCATAGCCAATACGATTTTAACTGATTAATTTGCAAATTTGGTTAAAAAAGCATGAAGTAGTCTTTTTCTAAAGCAAGCTTTGATAGTTCTAGGGGAAGACACGGATTCCGTATTTCAGGAAAAATAATATTTAGTTAAGTCCTCATAAGTAAGGTGTAACAGGTTCCACAAAACATACGGAAAATGAGACAAACTAGACATAGAGCAGAATTTCAGATAAGGAGCTAAACCAGCATCATTATGTACCTGTCATTATACAGCCAAGCCAAGAAACCAGTGCTATTCCAGTAAGTATCTGGTGCATTTCCATTCCCATCAGACCAAATTATTTCTGGTTGGTACTTGGTCACAATTTCATAGAGTTCTGGTAATGATTTACTGGTTGGGAACTTTCTTGTCTTAAAGACATTGGCGGCATCCTCAAGAAAGAGAGGATTAAACCATTCAAACAGGGAGTGATATAACCCAAAATGCAAGTCAGTCCTATTTCTAACAGACGTTGCTAGTTCAGCCACAAGATCTCGTTTTGGTCCCACATCAACAGCATTCCAGTTCCAAGAATATTTGGACCCCCACAAAGTAAAGCCTGAAAAGAGAAAAATCGAAGGATAAGAAAGGGAAGCAGAAGAGGGGAAGTTATAGTTCCTCCTTCTGGAAAGTAGTTTGCAAGCCTGTTGCAAAAACCAGATATAAAAATCATCTGTGTAATAATATTGTTATCATGGCATAGAGTATGCCTATAATCTGTTTATGCATGACGACACTAGTCATAACATCAGAACATTATGCCAGATACGTTTATGTGTTTTTTTATTCACACACATATGCATTTATATTTGTATATATGTAAAACATTCAACTTTCCAGTTCTGTACTGCTTAGGATAATTATTTCTTCTCCTTAATTATTCACTTCATTCATACGCCCCCATTAAATTAACCAAAAAATACAGCAACTTTTGAGGCATCTACATTTTCACTGAATGTATCTAATGTGAACTGTGAACACACATTCAACAACTGGAAAATAAAATGCTTTCTCAGTTGCAGAATGCACAAGCTATCATTTGTATTCAGACTATTCTCCCTTCCTTCTGTTTAGATCTTACGCAAACGTTCACTTTTCATTTGTCCTGACATTTGTAATAGCTCAATCAAGTAGTTGGTACCCATATATAAGCAGTGTGCAAAAACTACTGGAACAGCTTTTAGAATATCAGCATTAAATATCAGAAGGGATTTAACGTTTCAGACATCCAGCAATCCAGCACAAACACTTACAAGTACTACTGCACTGCAGACTTAGACCACTGCCAGAGGAGCTCCACTCTCACCTTCAAACTGCATTATACTCATTGCCTAATAAATTTTGCACTGTTTTTGTGAACTGGATACATGTAATTGTATAGACTAGACAAACAACCTAAAAATTCATGCCCAAGGCTACAGGGCAGACTAAATGAATCATGGTTCTTTTGAAGTCACTGGGAATTACGCCATGGGCATCACCAAGATCAAGATTTTATGTGTGTCAGAGCTGAGATTAAAATTCAGAAGTTACAAGTTGCCAGTCTTGAACTCACACCTCCCCAAAGACCAACAGCGTTCACTAAATGTACTGTCATACTGCATCTTAGTATTTTGTACTTTCTTTGCTACTGTATTTCCTTCCGACCACTTTCTTTTTCTTTACTTTTCTCTGCAAAGCATTTTACATTTACAGTGCCAAAAATCAATCGTGCCTGTGAAGTTACAGACTTGGTTCAAGGTTTTGGCTTCTATGCACTGCATCAGGAACAGCTAGCTATACCCTGTGTATATTTCTAACTCTGAAGTTGACTCCTGGAACATACTCCTAAATTCCTTGGAGAAGCCTATGCAGCTCATTAACTGCCTGTACGCAGCAGCTCTCCATATGTTAAATGGTGTGGAATTCACTTTTGTGGTTCCTTGAGCGATAAATTGCACAACAATAAAAAATAAATTACGGTTACTGCTGGAAGTTCAGCTACCCCCACCACTTCAGGCTGTCTTACCTACAGCAAGAGAACAATGGCACAATCTATTTTTCCTCCTACGTAAGCTTCGTGGCCACAGCTTTTGTGTAATAGCCAGAAAAACACATGCACATTTCTTGGGTGGTTTGTTTCCTCTTTGGCTGGGTTGGGGCAGGTAAGGCTGCCTGGCTTTCTCTATCTCTCTCAGCAGGCAGGAAAGTCACCTGGATTTTTCTTCTGTTGACAGAAATGCAACAATTACTAACATTCACAAACCTTCCACTTACCTTCATGATGTTTTGAAGTTAAGACAACATATTTTGCACCGGAAGCCTTCAGAATATCTGCCCACTGGTTGGGATCAAAGAATTCTGCTGTAAACATTGGCCCAAAATCTTCATAACTGAACCCAGGTGGATAATTTGCCTCCATAAATTTCACATAAGGCTCTCTCTTTTCCTTCTGCCAGTACCACCTAGAAAATATAGAGCAAAACATGTCTGCTGGTGCATTTTTAGACAAGGAAAGGAGAATTGAAATCATCAGCTCCTATTTGTGTTCACACTGAGAGGCACATGCATTGGAGGTACATGACACTGGCAGTAAGACATAACTGCTTCAGAGTAGTATTAATTATCAAATATTTCCTTTTCTCTGTCCTCTTTCCCGATGCTCTACATCTCTCAGGCACTATTTTGGAAAGGTCCCGGGATTTCATGTCAAGCAATGTCACAAAGCAGCTACACTTTGAGAATGAAAGAACAGCAGTCTTGTTCAGTATCCAAATCCCATAACTGTACTAGAGAGCACAAGCAGACCGTCTATGTACGCAGCTCAGCTGGCACAAGGAATGCACTTTTGCTGGTCTAACGTGATCCACCCTCCTGAAGTCTCACACATCAGCCATCAGGCATCTCTGCTCTGCCCCCCACACTGCAATTTCTGCAACCCACAAATACGCGGACCAACAGCTTCACCTCTCTGCTGGTCCAGAGTCCTCTGTGCCAAATGCAGCTGTGTGACCAGATGTGTGAGCGGATGCCTACGGTCCCAGAGCAAGACTGAGCTGTGGCTGCAGCTGCTACACAGCTGGGGCTCTGAAGCAAAGGCATCCTACAACAACAATCTGCCTCTGCAAGACCCACACACACTTAAAAATGCACCTCAGTCACAGGCTCTAGCATGCAGGCACACATCTACCTACCTACCAGTGCACACAGATTTAGGAACTAGAATGAAAAACAAGCTGATGATCTCTTTTTGCATTCCAACTGGCAAAGACAGGGACAGTTTCTATCCTGTGCTTCCCCATGACAGTCATCACTACCGTCACTATTCCAACTGGTGTACTCCCCAGCAAGGCTTGGAGCTCTACTCTACGGTCTTAGGGTGGTCTTTCACCCTCATCATGGGCACAGATCCTAAATCACCAATACAGCACTATTTATTTTCAACCTGCTCCATCCCTCTCCTAGCTGGCAATGAAAGAGGAGCTTCTGAAACAGCACACAACAGTCTTTACTGCATGAACAGCCTTATTGCTGGAGACCTTCTAATGACAACATATGTTGTGACTGCTAATAGTTACAGGAAAAGGGCCTGAAAGCATTCACCTTTCTATGAATGAAGCCAAGCATCAAAAATCCTGTTGGCAAATTTAGACATAAATGAAAACAAATTGCAAGCAAAGGAATAAAACAGGCCAGAATCTGAATGTTCGAAATGTGTTTCTCTCCCCTGTCCTGAGCTGGACTCTGACCTCAGTTCTGTAAGACCACAGTAATATTGTCATAACCTTCCCAAACAGACTTCAGCATAAACAAACATGACCTCTGGCAGCCAACAGGGAAAAAATTCTAGAAGAAAGAAGCTGAGACAGCCTTCTTCATTCAAAGAGCCTTGAAAAAAAACCCCACCACCAACTCTGATTTTAAAGTGTGTAATTGCATAATGAAACAGGTAAGATCCTTGCTTCTCTCCCTTTGTTGCATGGTTTGCTAACGTAAGCGCTTCTACTCTGACATGATTAGATCGTACAAACATCCTGACCAAGGTTGCGCAGCTCTGAGGGAAGGAGGACGGGCTGGGTGATACGAAAGTTTATCATCTATTTGAAGCTGCTAACACAGGATCTCAATCATCTGACTACACATGCTTCCAAGAAGGCCCTGAGGCAGCTCCAAACCCACACGTGCCTAAGGATGGAAGGTTACAGTAATATAAAAAACAACTTCATCAACTTACATTAGTGTGTTTTGGGGTCTTTTCAGAACAACAACAAAAACCAAACACTTGATCCTGAAGCTGTGCACCACTATCGGAACACAGCTCCCAGAGTAAGGCTTGAACCCAAAGCTAGCTTCCTTCCCACCCCCACCAGAAAAGCAATTTATTAGTAAACAGAATTAAAAAACCTTATGAAACCCTTGAACATAACTCTGAAAAGAACAGACTAAATATTGTCAGAAAATGGTTGTTTGTTTACATCGATGTTGGTTTGTTACACAAATATTGCATCTAAGATTTACCATAGCTCTGCCACAGAGCTGCTGTTATCTTCATATTGTAAATGATAATGTGACTTGCTTTAAGTCATACAGGAAGTATTTGGTAGAACATGTAAAGAAGATAGCAAAAGAAAATGCTTACAGCCTGGCCTGGACTAGTGAAAACTCACAAACCAAAGGTTTTATTTAGCCTTTGAATTAAAATTATTGGAAGGATCGGAGCGTTATGTTTTTTTAAGCAGAACGTACTCTTTAATAAAAATAGTAAGAAGAAACCCATCAACAGCACAAAATGTGCGCAAGAAAACTGCAGGCAGTTTGCCACACAAGGGTCGGGATGGAGGGAGCGATGGACTCCTGCCTTCCCCACAGAGAGTGCCACAGCGCTCTGGCAAGAGCTGCTCACGGCTCCTCCGCCGGCTGGCAGATCCCCAGCGCCCAGTGCCCATCCCCACGGGGCCGGGGGAGCGCTCCTTCACCCACCCCTTCAGCTCCTTCACCCACCCCTTCATCGCGGCCCTGAGGCCTCCCTCTGCCACTCAACCAACCGCCGCCTTCACCAGCGCTGCGGAAAGCACATCTCTCAGCACTACGAATCCTCTGCTTAACTCGGTTAACGTTCGCCAACACACTCGGAAGAGTTTTAGGGCTGGGCAGAGAGATGGTCACACGTACCAGAAGCACATCAACCTCTGCTTCCTTCATAAACGGCGCCATAAAGTCCATGGTCTCCCTGACCGGCCTCGGGCGGGTTTACGCCTTTTCCCACACGCCTCAGCTCCAGCGTCAGTCTGCAAAGGGGCTTTACACCAAACCATCGCTTTTGGGGGTGGGACGCACCAAACCGACCCCCACCTGCCCAAAGAGCTGCTCTCCAACCAAACCCTCACATCGCTGGTAGAACCGGCGGCAGCAGCAGCAATGTCGGTGCAACCCTCCCACCTGCCCCACAGCGCCCGGGGCCTTGAGGGGGCTGCCGGGTGCC